GTCGTAATGCCCTCACATGGTCACTCGTATACAACCACTGTCAGGGAAGTCCTATTCACTGCCTTTTCGTGGTGTGTGTTTTTACAAAACTGAGAGGATGGAAAGCGAATGTCCGGCGCTTTAACCGGGTTGGTGGATACGTAAAGTTTACCTAGAGGAGTTGAGAAACTTGATTCCAAACCAATGTTGCACATGAACTCCAGAATCCTGAGTGAAAAAATGGTGTATGAACCAATTATTGGTCACCGACCAACATGAGACTGTATCTCCCAACGTTGCTCCAATTCCTTGTGAACTAGACCTTCATGTCAAAGGCTCGGGGTATGGCCACCTAAGCAAACCATATACTTTAATTTGGGCATCCGGGCAGTATCACAACCCTCACACAAATCAATGATAACTACTACTGGCCTCATTGTTATTGTGTGACGCATTTGTATTTGGTGCCCCTTTGTACCAAGGTTTCTTTGTTCAAGTAAATTATATAATAAATTTAAGATGAATATAGAAGCAGATAATTTGTCCATTGATTAGAATCATGGTGATACCCTCAAAAGTTATCGATTAGACCAAGGTAAATAAATTTCTAAGTGGTTTTAATGTCAGTTGTCTTAAAATGAATTATTTACTCAATATATTGATATTTCAATTTCTATGACCTCTTCTATTGACTTTATTCATTTACCATATTAAATTACCTCAGTAACATTATATTTACAATGTTATTCTTATATTTACATGATCAGTTTTAATATAAGTAATAAATTAGTTGAAGTTCGACAATAACACTGTTGGATGCCGATCGGCTCAGTGGTCTACAGTTTAAGCGTTCGATCACGAGATCGATAAAACCTGGGCTCGAATCTCGCGAGGCAGGACCGTGGATGCGCACTGCTGAGGAGTCCCACAATAGGACGAAACGGCCCTACAGTGCCTCCAGGTTTTCCATGGTGATCCAGGTTTAATTGTCTCATGATCTCAACTACTAAAATTACTATAATATCCACAAAACCCCCTCTGATTCATTAATTGTCTCATTTATTTAGTCGTCAACTAACTCTTTTTATTTTGTTATATCTATGGCATCAATTACGGAAATGAAGTTTAAAGACTATCGGATATATTGGATAGAACGAGAATGATAAGCTTATGGACGATCCAGTTTGTAATTCCAGTTCTTCTGATATATCGAATAATGTTTGTTCGATTGTTATTTTCTTTAGGGTAAATGAGAAAAGATTATCTTCTATATGGTATCCCTATATTTATAAATCTATTCATTGTTAGGCAAATTATACAGTCAATGCAAAACAAATCGTTGATGATCATTCTTGATAAAGTCAAATTTACCCTTAGGGAATATTATACTTTAGATTACAACTAAGTGATGTACAGTGATAATATGATTATACAAGATGATTCTGATAAGTTCCAAATATTAAGCCATGTCTATACGAATTCTGTTCAAGTTTCTATGCTGAATAACAGAATTAATAATAATATTCAGATTGAAGTCATTCCTAACAAAGTACAAGCTGATAGTACCTAATTAATTGAATAATTAAAAGTTGATTACCATACAACTGAAAAAAAGGAATCTAAGAAATTTAGTCTCTCTACAGTTTGTTTGGAATTTGATTACAAGTGGAATCCAGGGTATGGGTTTCGTTTAATGTTAGACTGGTCAGCTAGATGTACCTGTTTCCGAGTGTTGTAGAAAAATGCTTCTTGAATCCCTGATTTAATTGCATACCAATCATTCTAAAAAACTGCACTATTTCAGTTAAGTATTAATATAATGACTTGTGCATTTACATTCTAGTTTAGGCGAGATATCCGTCTACCAACCAAAGGACGAGTTTAGTGGGCAGCAGTTCGTTCCATCTTACTTTATGGCAGTGAAATATGGCTGGTAAGAGTAGAGGATATTCGTAGTTTTCTAGTATTCGATCATGATTGTCTTCGAAGCATTTCTCGTATATCGTGGAACCACCGAGTAAGTAATGGAGTTGTTAGGAAACGGGTACTAGGTAAGGATGGCAAATTAATTGATGAGGTAGTGAAAATTCATCAGTTGAGATGGCTGAGACACGTGTTACGTATGCCCAACCACTGACTGCCACGACGTGCAATTTTTCATGGTGTAGGAGTAGGCTGGAAGAAAGCTAGGGGCGGCCAGACCAAAACATGGCACAAATCCACGAAGTCACTGACAAGTGTATTGAGCCATGTTGGTCAGCGTAGTCTGTCTGGTTGGGGACCGCGAGATGATAGCAACCGATGGTTGGAGACCTTGAATGACATGACTCAAAATCGTCTGCAATGACGCCGGTGCATCCCACACTTTGTGTTCCTCCAAATTCTAATCTTCTCAATTCTTCATGTCCCATTTTCTTTCTCTTTCCAAATTTATTTCACTGTATTATACTCCTTGAATAACATCTTCAAACCCTGAACTTTCCGATTACTGCTTAAACTCTTACGACCTCTACCGCTATGAGATTTGAATCGATAACTGCATCTCTGTTCTAATGTGATATGGTAACTCGTACTGATCTACGTGCGTACGAAGGTCTACGTTGTTACTGACTGACTGACCCCGGCCATCAGAAGGCAATGAGTAGGACTTATCAGTTAACTCCCATTAAAAAAAATCCACTGAGAATTTAAAGAATACTTAATCATCTGGTATCAACTAAGTGTCTTTTTATAAATATCCTATTTGCTGTGAAACACTCAAGACTTTGGCTCTAATCAGTATAAGGTAGTGGATATCTGAATTCAGTCCAGAATAAGATAGAATGACCATTTTAGTACCTCTTGAATACAACTGTTTATCAAAACATATTGATGAGAATTGTCTTTTAACTGAATTGACTAAATTGGCTGTTCATCTAAATAAGTATCGTCAAATTATTACAAACTTCAAAGATCATTCTATAGAATCAAATATAACTCAATGCAATGTTTTAAAAAAACGTATTTCGTAATTAAATCAACGTTAATTTCAGTGTGAAAAATGTATTCCACCCTTCAACAGTACTTTGGATTGTTTGTTTTAAGAGAGAGAGAGAGAAGGAGAACCAAGCACCCCCCTATCAATAAAAAACGAAAGATCTACCTTACTTTTACTAACAGATAAATAATCTCAATGGTTAAGATCATGAGTCAGTTGAAGCTAGACCACCATGAAAAACCTGGAAGCACTGGACGGCCCTTTCGTCCTATTGTGGGACTCCTCGGCAGTGCGCATCCACGACTTCAAATCCTGCGAGATCTGGACGCAGGACCTACTGGTTTCGCGCGCGAGCACTTAACCACCAAACCACTGAGCCGATCGGCATCCAATGGTGTTAATTTCTAACTTTAACTAATCCACGAAATTGAGCGACACATCCACCAATGTCTTCAGTGAGTTACTATCTCACAACAGACCCGGTTGAACTCCAGTGGTCACTACTTCTCACTAGAACTCCAGGAAATACCTCTTGAAGCCAGTCACTAGTGAGCATATGCTGATTCATATTATAAGGGTTTTGTGGATATTATAGCAATTTAAATAATAGCAATCCAATAGTAGTAATTTTAACCGTTGGATGCCGGCTCGGTGGTCTAATGGTTAAGCGCTCACGTGCGAGAATGATAAGTCGTGTGTTCGAATCTCGCGAGGCAAAATCGTGGAGATCGTGATCACTGCTTCCCACTTGAACTCCAGGAAAAACCTCCTAAGGAGTCCTACAGTAGAACGAAACGGTTTTCCAGTGCTTTCAGGTTTTCTATGTTGGTCTAGCTTCAATTGACTCATGATCTCAACTATTAAATTTTATAAAACAAGTTCTGAAATATATACTCATTAATCGAAGTAGTTCACAATCAAGTTACATTGTAATTTCAATCTATAGAAATGGATTAGCCCAAATTGTTATTAAGACAATGTAAAATTGATCTGCACTAGGTGATCAATCAATGTAAATAAAACATTTCATATAATCAATAATTTTCAGACAAACTAGACGCTTATAATTATTTAATTAAAGTAGTATTTAACGGAATGTAAAATTTAAATCAATGTAATTCACTAATAAAGAAAGATAGTTATTAGTGTTGCTAAGGTCACTGATTTTTATTACATAGAAGTTTTACGAGAGAAAAATTGCTCAATATTGACAATAATTTCTTCTTTGATATTGAACAAAACGGAAGGTTCATTAACATTTCTTCAAATGGAAAGTGAAAATATTTTCAAGAGTGATCATTGATTACTCTTGAAATGGAATCCGGATTCCGTCTTTTCAAAAACCAGAACATTAAAACTCGTAAGGCAACTATAAACTCAATGTCAGTATGTAAGACCATGAAGCCTGCAAACACAGGCATAAATTCAATAGAGAACATCATTTCGTTAAGATTTCAGGTTCTCCATGCGGAAGACTTTCACCATGAACGATACCTAGGCCCATGGTTTACCACCGATTCTCTTCAATCATCTAATAACTCGATATGGTGTCATTTCGTTTAGCCTAGTATCCACATTGCGATTTGATCGATAGAATTCGGTTATCAATAAATAAACATGAAATTGATCACTACTCATTGAATAATCGATGATTAAGATGGATGCATTGAAACTCTAAGACGAGAGACTATGTCATATGAAAGAAAGAAATTTGGAAGTTTGACAATTCTCTTCAAACAACGAAGCATTAAGTTATACTATGAACGAAAATAAAATATTTGAAAAATACCCATTGAACAGCACTTCCATTGTCTGAATTTGTCAAACCTACCATGAGTTCAGTACATCATATAGTTATAAATACCAACTACAGTAAATGTATTTTCAAGCTGAAAAGTGGAAAAATTCCCCTTTTTGTTTGTTCATTTTCAATAGTCTCTTAAATGATCTCATCTCATAACGTGAATAATACAAGTTTATATACATATTATGTAAACGCTAGTCTTTCTTTCTCTATCTCTGCATACAAATATTTCAAACTTACTATATTCAATGATTGTGCATTGGATAATTGTGATTGATTTTCTTGTATTTCATTGGAATTTCGATAATACTGATGATGATATTCCTGATGAGAAGATGAACTTGAAGGAAAATTTGACTGTTTATTTCTATGATCAATATAATCGTTATTATTATTATTATTATATGCATGTGTTGTCATTGGTTGTTGACTAGTGTATGCATGATTGTTCTCAACATTATCATGATCATTAACTACACGTTTGATTGATGGTTTATCTTTACGTTTAAAACTTTTTCTCAGATTAGTAAATGCATGTTTAATATTTGATTTGATTGTTGGACGTTTATACTGAGGTTTATGCTGGTCGACATCGTTTTCATTCTGCTGTTGTTTTAATGATGTCTTCACATTAGTTTCATAATTATTATTATTAGTAGTAGTATCTGTCTGTGAATTGTCATTTAATTTGTCATTTTTACTTATTACATCATCATTTTCTCCTCCACTATATGAAAGAGATACTGATGTATGTTTAGTTTGATTTAATTTTGGTGGAGGTGGTCGATATGGATGTTTCGGACTATTTCTCTCATCATCTTTATCATTATTTATAAGTGATTCCTCTTGTGTTGTAATATAATGTTCAGTTGATTGATTAATTGATGAATTATTACTAATCGATGATTTATGGGTTGATATATCCGGTGAATTTTTTATTAAAGATAATTCAACTTCTGTTTTAATATCTTGATTATTTTCCAAATTGTTTTCTTGCAGTTGTTGACTTGTCTCCGTATGAGTTTTGTCTTGTTTCATTTCAATCTCATCTATATTTTCTGTAGAAACATCAGTATTCCTTGGAATCACTTCATTATTGAATGTATCACTATGAGGACTTATTGTTTCATTTCTTATTATCATTATTCCAGTAGTTATTACATTTGTTTTGTTATGATTCTGTGGATTTTCTGTTTCATGATCATCTACGTTTGATTCTGAAGCAGTGGTTTCATGAGATTTAATACTTGATTGTAAATCATTACTATTAGACATATCTGAATGAATTGTCTTTGTTAATACTTCAGTTTGATTGTCATGATAATCATAATGATCTTCAGTAGTCTTATCGGTAGTTATATTATTTACAGTGCTAGTAGATGTAATCGTAATCGTTGTTGTAGTTTCTTGAACAGCCGAATTCTCTGAACAGTTGACCTCGGTAGATTCCATTTCTGTTTACAAATAATTTCCTTGACAATTAGTTCTTAACTATTTTGTTCATTTCGTTTTTGTTTTTGAAAAAAAAAACCAGTAAAAATTTGTAGACCTGATTTCCTCCAATGGTAATTATTGTGAATATGACCAATCTATGTCAGAGTAATGGTGATGATAACAATAATGATAATAATAAGAGTATTATTAATGATAATAATATTGTGATTTCTTGTGTCATGTAAGTAAGTGCATATGCACGCTTACATGTTAGTTTCAGTGTGTGTGTGTGTGTTAGATAAATATACAACACTGTGTGATAGATTAATAGAGACAAATTCGACGAATGTGTTCAATCTGTAGGTGTGTATATATATATATATATGTGTATGTTGTAGATTTATACGTGTTTTACACACATGTGTTATGTATATTGGAACCAACTCAGCCAACAACGAAATTACAAATAAAAATGGTCTCTTAGCGAACTTGATCTTGCTCTCTTTCTGTTTCTCTCTCTCTCTCCCTCTGAATCTAGTCGGTTGTTTCTCTTTTTTTTTCTTTGGAAATAAAGTCTGATTAAACTTTACTCATAAGTGCAAAGTGCAAGTTCACACACTACACATAACAACAATGACAACACACTCACACACACACACCACATACACAAAATGAAATCCAACCTATCTGGTTTTTTTAAAATGATGTGTTTATTCACATCATTTGTGTTTGTGTTTCTATATTCCAGTAAATCAATTAACTTATTACTTATTTATATGTATTATATATATAGAGAGAGATATGTATTCGATGTAGTGCAAAAGTCAATAGATTTCCATGTGACACTTCATTCAATTAGTCACATGAAAGCATCAACATTATAATATCAGTAACATTGAAGAAAAATAAAAGAACATTGTACATAGTAATAAAATTAATAATTGAAAGTTGATGTTGTTTATTATCGTAAAAATTGATTAGGGGAAAAAATTTTAAAATTCAATAGACTTCTATCATTGTTGCTATGTATCACTTATTAGTAAAGGGTATGGGTATTGTATTGAGTTATTGTTATTGACATTAATGATAATCTCATTTTGACTACTGATGATGCTTTTAATGGCCGAAACAGAGAGTAGTTGTATTAATATTTTTAATAAAAAGTATATATGAACCAATAGAAGTTAATTTAATTCACTTAACTACAATACAAGTATGAGAAGCTATTGACCATTTATAGTAATGATGTTAATCCAATCAAAAGTTTGTTTCCTTGTGTGTGTGCATATGTGTATGCTAGTGTATCTATAATTGTGTATTGTAGTACTAATGGTAGACAAAAGTACATACTGATATTTGACATTTCAAACACAAACTGTAAACTAATTTGTTTAGGTACTGTAACTTTTCTGTACGTGTATGTGATATGAAACCATAAGTGTTCCTTTTTACTTTTGAAGCACAAGTTTTTTATTTGTTTTTTTAGAAAAAAAAGAACCATTAAATGGAATGTCAAAATTGATATAAGTAGCATAGAAGATAATTCGAAATTATTACTTTTCCATGGTGAATAAAATCTCATTATAAGATGATGAAAAACCAATTATTAACACTGAAGGTCGAACAAAAGTTGGGCGAGTACTTCTAGTTAGTCAACAACTGACCAGTGGACTTCAACCAGGTCTGTTGTGAGATAGGAACTCACTGGTGACAATGGTGGATGTGTCGCTCAATTTCATAGATTAGTTGAAGTTAGACATTAACACCGTTGGATGTCGATCAGCTCAGTGGTCTGGTGGGTAAGCGCTCGCGCGCGAAACCAGTAGGTCCTGGGTTCGAATCTCGCAAGGGATGAGGTCGTGGACGCGTACTGCTGAAAAGTCCCACAATAGGACGAAACGGTCGTCCAGTGCTTCTAGGTTTTCCATGGTGGTCTAGCTTCAACTGACTCATGATCTCAACCATATTCAAATTGTCTTCTCAATTTGACAGGTTAAACTCACGAACAGTTTTGGGTATTTTATTGAATCTACCGAAATTTCAGTACTAATTACAACTCTATAAATAACGTATATTTTAATACTAAATGGATGAAGTCAATGTGTCAGAATCTCAGTGCAGACTAATATTTCATGTTAGATGAGATTCTTTAACAAGGTTTATTTTAATATGAACTAATTGATCTCGTAAGATTGGAAACCTAATCATCCTGATTGACTGCCAGTAACGTCATCACTAAGTTACTAGTCCAAAAATGCCTTAATACGGCTAAGAAGGAGGGTGAGAAGAGCTCTCTCTCTCTCTAAATGCTCTCATATGGCCATGCATTTACCCACACTCAGGGACACCCTACTCACCTCCTCCTCATGGATCGGGTGTTGCTTACGAATTTGAAAGGATGAAAACCAAATGTTCGTCACTTCAACTGTGTTGGCGGGTAGGGTGGATTCACTTGAGAGATTTAGGAAACCGTGATTCTAAACTAATGGTTCACATAGGCTCCAGGATCCTGAGGGAAGAAACTACGTATAACCTATTCTCGGTCAACGGCTACTACGTGATTGCATCTCTTAACTTTGCTACATTGTCTTGTAGATTATACCTGTAGGTTAATGGTCTCAGAGGTGGATCTCTGGGAAAACCACCTGTTTCTGTTTGAACACCCGGACGGAATCCCAGCCCACTTACAAATTTAGTGATTTATGTATTGCGTATAAAAATCTGTGTCCCTTTATATCAACGTTTATGTGTCTAAGTATATTATAGTACTAGAATTACGATCACATGAAGGACTGAGACGTTTACATTGATCGATCAATGTGTAATAACTAATGTTATGTTTGTTTAGTCTTTATACTGTTGAGATTCCGTTGATTAGCATATAGTCTAGGTCTTGTTGTTCCATTGGATCCCAGTCATTTTCGGAATAGCTCTGTGACAATACTTCTAGTTATGACCTAGAATAACACTAGTCCAGATCTCAATTATATTTCATCAATACTTCGATGTTTTAATAAAGGACTTTTAATTAACCTGTTACTGCATGAAACCCCAGTAACGAACAAGTAACGTCGGCCTATGCTACACCACGATGGGTAACAGGCGTAAGTAAGTACTTAGATAAACAGTGTTTTGTTTTTGTCAAGACCACTGATAGTAAATCTAGGGCTCTATTTTTATTGTAATGGTAAATAACTCTTCAAATTCAATAGTCTTGAAGGCATTCTGCATTTATACTCACCTTGTTAGTTTAGATGGAGACTGCTATTTGAAGGTGCTTGTCCAAGCATTGTTCCCGCCTAAACAAACAACTTGTAGGTCACAAGTTGTTCCGTCTACACCTACGTTTAAATATACTGCATTTCCTTCTTCACGTTTTGTCTTTAAGAATCACTTTCAGGGTATCTGGATATCACTATTGTCTGATACTGCCGTGTTCAGAATATCGTCACTACATATTTGTAACAGAACTAATAGAAAACATGGACTCCCATATTTTCAAAAGTTTAATAAGGACTTGAGAAAACTAGATCAATAGATACAGGTAATTTAAATTTTTTGGACTTAACATTCCTCTATAATGAATTAAGTGGGGCTAGCATTGGAATTCGCCCACAACCTTCCAGGGCTAGAATCCAGGATCTTCAACGTCTTGTGACGAATGCCCAGCAGTAAAAACCAATTGGTTGGTATTGAGTAGTACTTTTTGAGCTCATATATGTAGTGAAAATCATCCAGTGCCGTTAGTCAGGACTGTTTCGGTCTCTAAATGTCTGAGGTTCACTAGTTAAGACTTTTCACTAGAACCTCAACGATACAACAATCGAAATTCGTCAGTGATTAAATAAAACCTACCAACTATGATTTACTTGTTAATTATATTACTAGACGAATGTCAGTTTGTTCTTTGTATTGGGAGCTAAATACACTTCTAAATGTAGAAGTCGTTAGATGATTGAAGATAGTCGATTGGGATGCATAAACCGAGGTTTCTCGCTCAATGCCACTCATCGGCATGCCATAGCTACAGTTTGAAGGGAACCGATGCTCCTTGGTAAATCCGAACCCTGATTAACCAGTCTCACCATTATCATTGGGGTATTAGACCCAAGAATGATCTTTTGTAGGACTGTGTTATAAACACTGATCGATTATTGAATAGTAGTTAACATCATGTTTGTCTAATCTTGCCGACTACATTTCACCATCACTTATGAAGATGTAGTGAACATGATGTCAAATAACAGTCTAGTTGCCACGTTGCAACTTGATCGATAGAATTTAACCAGTACAGTAAACTGATAGGCAAGCATCACATTGATTGCTATTCAATGAGTGATCAGTCAATCGTAGACTCTGTATTTCAGTCGAGTTAATTACATACTGAGAGTACTTTAGTCTTTTGTCATGTCGAGTGATTTGCAAAATATTCTTCTTCTTATCAACTTGTCTTGTAATGATTGAAAAATACAAACGTTTCTTTGGCAAACAAACGAAAGTTGTAGTCAAGAGTATTTAATATTAGGTTTAGCTACAAAAATCAAAGTAGTTTTTCACAATTTGAAAAAAATGAAATTTTCTTGCACGCTATTTGGCACAATCGACAAAATGATTCTGCACGGGTGTTTTTTTCGGTAAACAATTTAACCATAAATCAATAACGACTATAAACGGGTAAAAGTATATTCATATTGTGAGATTGTATCGAATTCAATTAATCGCATATTTTATTGTTTAGATAAATTATTATTTAAGAATTAGGAATAATGTTTGACACTGGTTATTTGAAAGAACCTAATTGTGAATGCGGATGTTTCTACTGCATATTAAACTTCGGAAGATGTGTTCAAATTCAAAGACAACCAACACTGATCTACTGATTAACAATATCTATTTAATATGAACTAACGTATCCATCAAAAGAGTCGATAGCTAACATCATTCAAGAGACTAATGAACATCTATATTAAGATTGAAGTAAATAGTACCGAAGGATTGGTTGATGTTAGACACTAACACCATTGGATGCCGGCTCAGTGGTCCAGTAGGTTAGACGTTCGCGCGCGAGACTGAAGGCATTGGGTTCGAGTCCAGCGAGCAGGATCGTGTGTGCACACTGCTTGGGAGCTCCACAATAGGACGAAACGGTCATCCAGAGCTTCAATGTTTCCAACGGCGATCTAACATTAATCAGCTCAAGGTCTCAATTAAAAGTACTGATACAAACCTTGCTAGATTCCGCTGACGAATCTTCAATGGATTCTAATGTTATCTAATTAGTTAAATTATAACTAGATTGTAAACGTTTAGAATGTCGATAGAATTCGTACAAAAAAACATGAATGTAAACATGTAGTAATCAAATTCTGTCCAGAATATCAGCAGTAACTTGGCAAAAGTTGTGTGAACAGTAATTTTGTCATGAATCGATCCAAATTGTGGAATCGTTGAAAATTTATAAGTTAAAATAATCTTAACAAAACCTGTTCAGTTAAATTGTTATATCTACTTCAATACTAACTTATCTTTTTGGATGGGTTCTTGAAGTTCTAACAAGACTTTATGATAAGACTATAATTTATGGATGACCTTTGAGTGACACTAAATTGACAATGAGGATGTTCACCTAATTGCTAAGGCTAAATGACAATTATAAAGCAGTTTGAAGAATAAGGATTATGATATACATTTAGGGTTATCATCATGAAATGACACGATCTAAAATACCGAATCACTATTTAATCAATTAGATAAATGAATTTCGCGCCGAAATCCATGACCTGTTATCCTGAATCTAGTTGGTTCGTTCATAAATTATAGTCTTACCGAATTTGTGATTGGGATACCTTAGATATATGAAAAGTACAACATTTGTTATCAATAGGATTGTAAAGTAGTTAAATTAACCTCTTGTAAAAATGAGGTATTTACAGTTTATTGATTATTGAGAAGTGATATATATATAATCTTTGTCTAGTATTTTAGTGTTAATTAAACCCTATCAATCATATAACTTAAGTCTGAAGTTATCTGTACACTATTTTCAACCATCTCGCATCATACAACATAGTACACTTAATGTTGAGTAACTCATGCTAATGATAAACACCATTAATTAGTCGACAGAATTCGAT